TACTAGTACATCCCTCCAGACTCAGTAGAAAAGAACACCAACAGCAGCATCGTTTCAGAAAGTGTTTAAAAAGTGGCGGCAGAACAAATAGTTCGTGGTGGTTCTTGATCACAATTGAAAGGGTTTTGCTGCTTGGATATGGTACCATTACCAGCACGTAACGCACGATAATGCTTTTCGCGCGTGCGCCACCATGTGACGCACGCCGCCACACAGGATAGGAATGGGCTCATGCGAACAGCGGGGTTGAAACGGAGCAGTATGTTCGTATCTGGTCTTTCAAAAGAAGAGATTTTCATCAATGAAACTCCGTAATTCGCCTCAAGCTTTCGTTCATCTCCTCCATCCTAAATGTAGGGTGCAAGGGATGAACGGAAGCTGCAGGTGACATCTTTCAACAGTGCGAAACAACAACCCCGAGCGAGGATGTGGCTATATTTAGGGGAAGGGGTCTCGGGACGTGCGAACCATGGGTAAGCCACCCATCAAATAGTAAACTTATGTAAATTAAGACAAAATGTATGTAAAATTTATTGTAGGTTTGTCAAAAATCCAGCCGTCCAGGTCCTGGGAAGATATGTTATTCCACATTGCTGAGAGTATATATGGGTATATTAAGATTGCTAGAAACATTCAAAAACAAAAGAAATAATCGTGCGCCACCATGTGGTGCACGTCGTCCGTTACGTGTTAACAAGTTACTGAACCCTGTTGAGTCTTTAGCAATTACTTTTTGCGATGAATTCTGAGGGGTGCCTCTATATTTTGTGAATCATTAGTAATTATGTTCGGAAATAAGCTGGATCAAATTACTTGCAATTACGAAATTATTGCTTACCGCTTGGCACTGCCGTACGAGGTGGAGGAGGTAGCGGGGCACCAGTTTTGATGGCGTAGTCGACTTTTTTCGAAGAAGAAACTGCATCAATGAATGTTTCGTGCCGCTCCTTCCAGTTGGTCTGAGGTCGCGGGTACACTCCACCAACCTTAAATAGTAAATAAAAAAAAGTTCATTAATTCACCCATACGTGGTATGCATTCATCCATATGTTTCTCGCGACGCACCATGGGTTTATTTTGGCGAAAGAATACATTAATTTCGTTTTTTTTTTCGAAGAAGGCTTGGTGTATATCAACGAAAAGATGTCAGCTTTCGAGAAAAAAACGGTAATGGTTTTCTTCCTGGACTAGCAGTCTAGCCGGCGGAAGTACTCCCCCCAGGGTCAACCCTACGTTGTTACGAGTAACAACGGGGGGGGGTCGTACCTGGTTGAGTTTGTAGGAGGGGGGTCGTACCCACTTTAGTCGCTCGAAATCACGTGTGGGATTGAGGTGAAACTAAGATTTCGTGGGTAGTAGGCTGGGCGAGTGGAGGGCGCGCAGGATAAAAATTTGCCGTTTCAGCGGGCGTATATACCCCCCCTAGAAAAGGAAGTAGTGGGAGTATAGGTAAAAAATGGGTTGAAATGGTGGAAATAGAAGGAAATTAG